GGAGACAGTTTCAAAAAGTCCATTCAGAATGATCACACTGGCCGAATAGTAAGATTGTGGTGAAACTGAGAAGTGAATTGGACTTGGTTTTTTTCCCTAATATATATTTGAGCACATTAAGTTCTCGGATTCTGTAAATCACTGTGTGCATTGTTTCTTGAGAACAAATCTAATTTCATGCAGGAATAATTTTCTCTCAGTTATAAATCAACTTTGGAGCTTTGAATTGATTAGGGGATGTGTGAAGATAGATTACCCCACCGAGCCATTTGAACAAGTGTCTATAAATTCAGTAGCCTATAAGGAGCAAGTCATATAGTCTTTCTTCATATTCTTATTCTAATACGACCTTAAACTACTTCCTGTTTTTTGATTCTAAATTTATTTCACAGTAGAAATTCATCTTGCGCATTGATCTAAAGATAATTAGACCTATTTGCTTCTAAGTGGATCTGTATTCCGAATAACTAAATATCGAGTCACATTAGTCACACCAGATACATATGAATAGCAGTAAAAAACTCATATATCTAGTTATCACGAGCTATTGGTTGCAAGTGTAATACTTCCACGATGTAATTGAGAACCTACCGATTCAAATAGAAAGAAAATACTGGATCCATATCCCTCGACTGAGAGAATATATTCGGAAAGAATGGAAGGTTCCCATATCTTGACACAATCCTTCTTGACATACCAACTATTCCATCGAACTTAGCACTAAAGAAATCGTTGGAAAACACATCTGTCACTTCAGCAAATGCTTGATTACGAATAACTAAGGAGCTTATCTGAAACCAAGGTCACTTCATGTCGTAAAACCACAGTACCTGCATTGTATCCATGCTCCAATATCCAGAGTAACTACCACTGAGGTAATTTATATCAAATTCGGTACCATTCGGCTTGTAGGTGGATGATTTTGAACTATCGTAGAATCGAATGAACCAGCATGGGATGTCAAGAAACCAACATTTTCTTGAAGGGAGCCAGGTTTCGGTTGATCCTGTGTCGAAGAGTACACGAAACTTCTGTGGTGGCGTTCCCACAAGCACTTCCCCATAGTACTGAATCTGAAAAGGATATAATGAACGTAGCATTTAGGAAATCGCCTGTGATGATGATGAACTAGAATGAGAATAATAAGTGGTTTTAAAAGACTTCTATCAATATTTGATTGATATGTCCACGCTTAGAATAACATTAAGGTTAAAGTCATCGAAATATTGACAGTGCAGCTTGAGAGATTTAACAATTCAGATTATGAAATCTGATCAGAGAAAGAATAGAAGTAAAGCAGTATGCAAGAGTACCGATCCATTATTAAATACTTTTATTTTGTGTCGCGGTGTTGCGGTATATATCGGCGACCTGCTTAAATCTTGGGCTACCAAAATTTCCATCCTACATATTTCCTCGGATTTATTTTATTTTAATCATTCTTATCGTATTGTTTACTCTCGCTCTTATTTGAAACGTTTCCAACCGGTTGACTTACTAGTTTCTAATAAACTTAAGAAGAAGCTTCATGGTGGATGGCAACGAGCTTTAAAGCGTACTCCAATGAATTTGATGACTTCCTGTGATTATGAGCACAAATTGCAGGTCATTATCGAACAAGACTAATTACTTGCATTCTGTATTATACTCAAATGTATATTTTAATACTGGTGTAATAACTCTTTAAAAACTTGGCTTCACGGTTCATATGACGATAATTTAGTCTTCTTAAGTGGTTTCATAATGTACAGACAAGACCGATGCAGCTCAAAGAAGAAGACAGGTGGTGGTATTGCCACTTTTATTAATTCTCAGTGGCCTACTGCCAACAACGTCTTCTTCAAATTCTCATATGACAATATTGATTCTATAACTGTTAAATGTCGACCTAAACACCCATCTAAGTATAGCTTCATTTTTGTCACAAATATCTTTATCACACCTTTTGCAGTCCCTCAGAACTATCGATCTTCGCTGATGAATTCACTATTTTTGCTGCTGCTTCGTTTAGCAACTCATTGTCTGTAGTGACTGGCGATTTCAATAACTGCGACTGCAGTTTTATTACATTGCTGGGCCATGAAAATGTTGTTAACTTCCAAACTCGACAAGATACTTCACTTGATTTTGTATTTATAAATGATTCCGAAATATACGAAGCTCGTAAAAGAGCTCCACTCTTCAATTCTGATTAGTGTATTGTACGAGTCTTACCCAAAATTCACGGAAAGTTACACAGCAAAGCCTTCTCAACCTTGTCTAAGAAAGTTGTTCACAGATGTTACTCAAATGAGAATGTACATCATCTTAGAAACATGCTCAGTAACACAAGATGTGATCTGTTAAATGATGATTCACTCGATGACACTTTCTTTAATATTACATCATATCTGAAATTCTGTTTTGAAATCTGCTGTCCAAAAACAACACTATGCGTCAAATTTGACCGTTTCTCCTCGCCTCAAATTAAAAAGCTTCGTAGAGAGAAGGAAAAACTGTATAAAATGAAAAATAAAAGTGGTGTGAAAAGAACTAACTTCTCAGTTAAGTCTGAAATGCAGAGGTTGAATGTAATATATAACCAGAAATTCATATCCTGCAAAAATGCTTCTAATATGTGGAGACTATTTAAGGAAATCACTGGTGGTAAGCAGATAAACAATATTCCATATTCTTTTGATGTATGTACTCTTAACAAATCTTTTATTTACGATCCCTCAAATGCCATTCTTCCCAGGATCAATTGTGTTAATAATAGCCCCTTTCCATGTTTTAACACAAATGAAATTCAAAAGTGCCTCAAGTCTCTAAACCCTTCCCAGAGCTTGGGTCCAGATTATTTACCTAATATTATTTTTTAAATGTTCTGATATTCTGAGTCACCCCGTCACTGATTTGTTTAACAAGTCTTTTTCGAGTAATATGGTGCCTGCCGTTTGGAAGGACATTAAAGTTGTACCCTTACCTAAATTATCTACTGGAGCATGTGTCAAATTTAGCCCCATTGTTATTACCTCTCCTTTTTGAAAACTATGAAGAAATTACTTTTACTTATTGTTGTACCTTCGACTAAATCCGGTAATGTCCCTAAACAATTAGCCTATAAGCACAGCTTCCGTCTTATATCATGACATCGCTTCCAGTCTAGACAAGGGGGCTAAATTTGTTCGTTGTGCCTTCCTGGACTATACATCTGCTTTTGACTCGGTCCCTAGGGACATATTATCAAATAAACTTGCTGCAAATCAAACAGAATGTTTGACTGTTTGCTGGTTTCATTCCTGTTTCACAGAAAGACAGCAGTTCACCATGTATAAAGGGTAGTCTTCTACTTCATTGCCTAGTGGAAGTTGGTGTCCCTCAAAGCACTGTCCTTTCTCCTTTTCTTTTTTCTTTCTTCTTGCATGACTTGCCTCACTCTGATGAAATAAACTTTGCGAAGTACGCTGATGACTTAACAGTTTCAATGGCTGTTAACTCCAAGCTAGATTGTACCAAAATAAATAGCTTTCTGTCAGGAGTCAGTAAATGGTCTGAGTCTAACGGTTCTAAAGTGAATCCTTCTAAATGTCAAACTGACAGTTAAAAGAAGTCATCGATTCTCATGACAGTTGTAAGATTGACGACAATGATATAGGAATCAAATCAGAAATTAAGTATCTTGGACTTATTCTCTCTTCTGATCTCTCCTGGTCTTCCCATGTCTTAGCGATCTCCAGTAAAATATTCCACCTGACATTTTACATTAAGAAGTTAAGGCACTCGGGTATAACTCAATCCCTCCTCCTACAGTTCATAAACTCTTGCATCCTACCTATTCTACTTTATTGTTTATCCTTATTCTTCCCTGGTTTGCTTTAAAAGGAGTATGTCACAATTCGTAGAATGCTGAAGACGGTCATTAGGGTGAGTGGTGTCCCAGTGGACCACATAGTTAATGTTGTTATCGATAGGCACTTGACTTCGTGCAATAAATTTGCTAAAGGGATTTTGTCTGACTTGGAGCATCCGCTTTACCCTCAGCTTTCACCTTGCATCTCCTCAAGTAGAACAAGATGTAACTTCAGAAAACTGTATGCTTGCAAGTCTAAGCATAAAAATTCTGTGATACCATACCTGGCACGTATAGTATGGTGTTAGGAAAGAATTAAGTAACCTCTTTTCATCGAGTAAATAAACAATTTCCTCCACTCATCCCTATATACCTTCAAGTTTTATTATTTCTATTATATTTATGGTCCTGTTGCTTCTTTGTTTTACTGTAATAATTGCAAGCACCAACTTATCTCTATGACTCCTGTAATCTTTGTTTTTCCCCTCACCATATCATGTAAAGAGAACACTATATTCAATATTTTTAAACATGCTAGGATATCTATACCACATTGAAAATTCTGTGTGAAACAAGCCCACGGCAATTTTTACTTGTACTATTATTATTACCTAAGCTGTTATCACTATGACTATTTCCGTTTTATATGATGCATGTTTGTGACATTACCTCTATTGTAAATGTGCAAAATTTTCTGTGCGATTAATTTTATTTATAATTTCAGGAAATTAGATGCAATATTGTGATTAATGCTGAAAATTCCATTCTCTATCACAATTACTGCTTTTAGAATAAAGTAGATCATTACTAAAAAAAATTATTAATTTACAAATGACATCTTAATCACGATGTTCTGCAGACTATCGCGTCACCTTAATATCTAGTTTGTAATCGTGATAAAAATTCATTGAGCTGCTAACAATGAGAGACAATAACACTTAAACATTCTCCACAAATTAACACCTACTGGTGTCATAGTCAGGGGAGTAAATCGCAACAGCTTATTTTCTTATTCCCCCAGTATCGACGAAATCATTTTAGGTACTCTGATTATGCATTCAGCGAAAAATATTTCTGATACATACACTTACATTAATTATGTTGTATTGCAGATTCAGATATCATTCAAATCAACAAGCATTTGCCTCATTACCGAAAGTCGACTTACATTGCCATAATTATACAGCGGTTCTGATGTTGGTGTATCTGCGACATTCAATAAATTCATCCAACTTCGTTGTAATAACCTGAACAGTTTTCGATATGGAGTCAGCATTGAACTGATTCCAGTCACCGGATGCAAAGGAATCTTGACAATCTCAGAATTAACTTGATATAAACAGATGAGAAATATGATCAGCTTCATTGCAGTGAATGTCAGAAGAAGACGCGAAAACGTTGACGATGTCTTTCTGTCTAAATATGCATCCACTTATATCAACATGCTGGTAACAACGAAATTTCTGATTGGAGATCACTGTGATTCTGTGTGTTGTTAGTATATTGTTAAGTGATGTTTGCGAATGATGGCAGAAACAAACAGGCTTTATGAATAACTGAATGTATGCGATATACGTGCAACTGAGTCCACTTAGCATGATGAACTTGTGATGTGTGAACAGACACTTCATTTGAGTAATTTCGAAATTCTCTTTGAGTACTTCAAATAAGAAATATTGGAGCGACCAATTGTTTTCAATAACTTGGTTTTCGGTTTGAACGGTGTCAGATCTGTGAACATTTTCATGCAGTAGACGGCGAATGCGGAAACATAACCTTATCAATAACAGCATTGTAATTGATAGTGTGAAATGAGTTCGGTTGAAAGGATGGTGTTGTTTTTTTAGTAGTGTTGTTACCTGCAAAATACGCAGTCAGTGTAGGTATAAGACAGGATGATAAGATTAGTCTTCTGTAGAAACCGTAATACAAGCTCAGAGGATTGAATTATTAGTACTGAATAGAATGATACTATGTGTCCAGTTAACCAGTAAGATACGCCTAATTACCGTTCACAAGGTGGCCAACAGTACAAATAATAATGAAAATAATACTCACCACTGAATACTGGAGAGGTGTTTTCTTCTAGTTTGAGACTCCTCAGTGGTACACATTCCTGTTAGCAACATGTGCGCCGACAACTGACAAGACTCGAATTAGGAATCTCTGATTTTCACTGATTCTCTAACGGATTTCTAATCATCATCTTAGAAAAACATGATAGGAACTGTAGTCAGTTGGCATTGTTGATTCTCGATTTGCCTCCTTACCGCCCATCAGTTTGTTGTCGGTTTCAATTTCTAAAATTATAAAATGTTTATATTTAATCTCACTTATTTCATGTAGTTCTATGTCATCCCATCCGCGTAAAAGTAAATTCTGTCTGGACACATTTTATGTCAGTTGTGATGTTTTCCTTGATCAGGTAATTATCCAGAATAAATATCTCACTCTAGTCAAATGAAAAGTGTTCACACTGAATTAATTCCATTCCAGGTTAAATACTGTCTTGTATTGACAAACAAGTCACACCATACTCAGCTGGTCACATGCTTCCAATGTTTCACTGCAGTCGAATTCTATCTAATTTACCAACAGTTTCCACACGTCTAATGCCTCGAAATTCTTGAGATGAATGGTTGTTGATTGTAACAAAATCAGCATTAATTATCAAGCAATTAGTCAATTAAGAAACACTAGGCTAAATTTCAAGCAATTTCAGGGAAACTGAGCGTTCATTTCGCTGCACTCCACCTTGTTATCTAATTAGCGTTAAAAAAATATGTTTGAATATAGCACATTTTAACATCATCGATAAACCGACAACTTCTATAAATTCAGTGAGTCTAAGTAGGAGGAATATGCACAAAGTAGGACACCGTGATTTACATCTTTGGAAAGTTGAAGTGAACAGTTTTTTCTCCCTTCACATTGTCTGACAGTTCATTTACTTTCACTGGTGCAAATAACGAGTGGATTACATGATAAAATCAACACAGTGACACAGTGTGTTGAAATAAATGATCGAAATACTGGGAATGAATGCATGTAACAATTTGACTGTTCATTGTCCATTGTCCACCAGGCAGTATATAGTAAAGCACATTTTCTGATAAAATTATTATTTGTATTATTTGAGTAATTGAAATCTGTCTTGTGGTGAAATATTTTTATTAATCTACTGATCCTATTAATCACGTTAACTTCAAATTTTTTTGCATTTTGTAAACTTTTTATGAACTATTCCAAGTCTCATATAATCTCTTTACCACTGGACATGGAAATATAATTACAATCAGAAATATTTCACCTCACTTAGTACTTATCAATGTAAGTATGGGCAACTTTTGTTTGAATTTCGCGACAGGATATAGTTTCTTAAAAATCAAATATATGTACGGGTTTACAGCTCGAAAATAAATTCATTGGAAATTATCTCTTCGCTGAATTCAGTGTTTAAGATTCCTATTCGTACATATCTGTTGAAGTTATTCCAGTTTTTTCAATCGTCCAATGAACTTTCAAAATACCAAATCGATTCCCTTCGAGCTGTTTTGATTATCATTAACCCTAATACAGTTCTCCCGCCCGCTTATTCGTTAAACAATTTGAATGGCATTCGTTAGTTCTTTAATTTAGGGAGAACAACTAATTCTTCGTTTCCTCTGAGAAATTTGATTTCACAAAGGTTAAAATTTAATATTCTCTAGTTCACTGTACTAATTATGCAACTTCACCCAGCGCAGCTGTAATAGATTTCTACGGTGGTTCTAATCCTGGAAAAGAGGAATTGTTGTTTTTGAGGGGTTGTGAAGCTACTCCGGACAATCGATCCCATCTCTACAGAATCCTGGAAACAAAGAACAGATATGAATAATAAACCTATATTCTACCAGGATAAAATGCCGCCTGTTAGGGAAAGATTTCATGAAATCAACCAGCCGAAGTGTCTGCTGTCGACAAAAACAGAAATAAGCGTGAAAGAGTGGAATTACTGAAGCTGCAAAGCTTTTGAAGGCCAATAAGGAAGGAGGTGGAACTAGACGGACGTTCATCAGCAAATTTTTTCTCTGGTTCGATGCTTTCAATAGGATGGTTGACGAGAAATGATAAACAATATGTGTCAGCGAAATAATCTAGAACCCACTGCTTGTAAAATATACAGAAAGACATAGAGGTGTATTGGGCATACACTGACCAGACCATTGAGTTATAGTAAACGACAGGTAATCTAGTGGAGAGTGAATGGGAAGCGCCTATTTGAATGTGTGTTCGAGGTTGAATTGGAGGAGATCGTGTGAGAAGGAGATGGAAGCTTTGGTACAATCATTGAGCCATCGAAAAGAGACTATAGAGCGACAGAATGAAGTCGAAATATGTTTTGTAGAAGCCCTATTTCCGACATCTTTCTTATCAGAAGAATTTGCAACATCCCCCTAAACCCCAGTCAATTAATTCACATTCAGACACTACTAAGAAGTGTTTTTGATGACAGCATATTTTAATATGATTATTAACAAAGGCTTATTCAGAGCAGAATATTTTTCATACTGTAAAAAATTACCAGAGTATTTTACTGCGTAATACTCACAATATGTAAAGGATCTTCAAGTGGACTTCTGAGTGACAGAATCTCATGTAACGCAGTGGCGCCGATTTGCAGAAAACCCGAATTCTAGCGAATAACTGTCATTCATAACCTTCGAGAAATTCACGGTTGAAAAACAATAAAAAAAGGTGTGCACGAGAACATTTTGCAGAGTCAGGATATGCTTGAATGGTTTAAACAGCAAAAAATGGGGAAAACTGCATGTACGGAAATGTATGCAGATACCTTGGAAAGATCTTATGTTATCAGTAGGTTTGATAGGATGTCATATGGCACTACACATAAGCGTAAATGATAGGTTGACAATATTTCGTTGAGGAATCCTATAAGGCATTTAGAGTCAATTTATTTATAATTGCATACTTCATAACTGATATTTTTCCCTGCTGCATTCAAATGAACAAGCTTATTTCATTTGTTGTGTTTTGATTCTGCTGATATTTTGAGCAAAATTACTGTCCGTGATACTGTTTTCAAATAAACAAAAACAAGTAGAAGAGTTGATCTGAAAACGGGCACTACATCTGCCCGTCCTGTTGTTTCCTTTCTCGTCAGCTTGTTAACACGACCTCTTAATTAGCGAGCTCGTCAAATCCCATCATGATACACTGAGAAGAGGTTAGATATTCTTTACGTCCATTTCATTTGTGCTAAACTTTATACTACTTACCAATAGTAAGTAGAAAGACTGATATAAAAATAGCATTTTATTACTCCTTAACCACAGTTACTGAATTCCATTGGAATTTATCCTTCTTGTACAGACGTTCCATTTGGACTGGAGTAATTATCTACGTATGGTTAAAATGAACATTATTTATTCGAATCAATTTGTTTCCTGTCCTCTTCATTCGAGTGTTGTTTCTATCTCCACACACATTGTGTATTGGGTACAGCCTCAATGTGTTTCTGTATTGAACCACAGTGACAGTGCATTTGACAGCACTCATACTCAATCCTCAAATTCTACTTATTATATATGTGTAATATACAGTTGTATTTCGGACATATCGTGTGTATGTGTGTATGTCCCCGATTACGGATTATAGGATCCCGACTACTTGGAAGGAAACCACAGTCTCCTAGATGACCGATCCTTTTAAAACTCAGTGTACATTTATTAAACATCACTCTCCGTCTCTGTTGAATCAAAGAATTGTGTACTACCAACTGTTATTTCTGGCGTAACTGTAATTAGTAACATTTCAAAGAAAGTGATAAATGGCATTTCTGACACCTTCAGAGAATAATCGGTGTTTTCAAGTGTCATATGGGATTCAGCTATACTGTCATGCCAAAATATGCAACACACCTCACTCACATAAATTTGGTTCATTAGTAAGTTTCGGTAGAGAGAGAGAGAGAAAGAAAGACGAGATTTGCAGTATCAAATGATATCGTTCCATTCCACTGGTTCTCACCAGCTGAAGACCACCTGAAATTACAGTGGTTACATAGATGATAACAACATCCTTTAATGTTTAAATGGTAGTAGAAGAGGAATACTGTAAAATTGACACATCCAAAATGTCAGCATTACAAGTTTTCAATTAAGTTTTCATCATCAGTTTATACGCTTTTAAAGCAGAAAAGACCGCCTCAATGAAATCCACAAAAAACATCAAATTCACCATAGAATATGAAAACAACGACAAGTTTACTTTCCTGGACCTAAATGTAAAAACAAGAAACGATGGAACGGTTGATAAGTCCATCTACTGAAATGAAACCTGGACTGGACAATAGCTTCACTACAACAGCTTCTGTCCTTTAAACTATAAGCGGACATTAGTAAGGACACTGAACAACAGAGCCAGGAAGCTATGTTTACTGAACAAGGCCGAAGAAAAATTGGGTTTCACCGAGAAATGCCTGAGAAAAAATGGATATCCGAAGGGATCTGTACAAAAGTATAGCAGAGAAAAGGATAAGGAAGGAAAACAGTCAAG